AAGGCCATAAGTCAGTTTAGATAGAAACCAGAAGTTTGAGTTTGGTTTCATTATCTCTTCAAGTAAACAGAGATGGTCAGACTCAATAAACACTAATGAAATACACAGATGTTCACAGACTGAGGCCTCATTAACAGTCTGCAATCAAATACAAAATTCAGAATACTGTAGTCTGTAAATTGTTGGTTTAAATTATGTAAAATTGAGGTTAAATCTTAAATCTATGGACTTTATCTGCTTAGACAAGGGAAGATTAAAATCAAATCAAAAACAACTTTAAGGACTTAAAAACATCCAAAACAATCATCTGATGTTTTTTTTCATTTGAGTAAAATTATCTTACTTAACTCTAAAGTACAGTGGTGGAAGAAGTAGTTAGAATCATAATTAAAAATAGCAATACCACACTGTTAAAATATTGAAAGTCCAGCATTCAAAATTTCACTTGTAAGAATAAATGTAACATTTAGACTTGACTTGGACAAAAACATCCATGTCTCACATAAAAGACTTGCAGATGATATGTTTTATAAGATCTGAAACTTGCCCCAAAAACCACACAGCTTTGATTTCAGATGTTCTACATCCTGTTCAATATCTGAATCTATAATAGTTCATTATATTTTACAAGTTTATCATTTTGTATAATTAAAAATATTATTCTGCAAGGTAACTAATAAAAAGTACAATACTCTGTAATCTAGTTGACTACAAATATAAAGTACAGTATAAAGACAGTTCAAACAGCAGTATCACACGGTCTTCACTATCATTATCTTGCAATATGGTAGAAAGCTCCATAACAAGCGAGAATGCAGACCTTGAGTAGAAATTGTTTTGTCTGGAAACTTGAAATTTAACTTTAGAGTCAACAATGATGAGAAGTTCTCTCCTCCCTCTTCCTGTTCTACTCTTCCATGGCAACGGGGCAAACTTCCTCTGCCGATAATGACCATGTGTTAGGGTCAAGAGCTCCAGAACAAGCATGTTATTGGACTTTCAGTGGAGTGTCAAAAGTATAAAGTAGCATAAAAGTACTAGTATTAGTTAATACTTAACTAAAGCATCAGTGCTTTGGTTACTGCACTTACTTTCCACCAATGCCAAAGCCAGACAAAGAGTTGCAGTGAGCAAGGCGTCACCTACATAGCAGGACTTTTGCTAAAGTCAAGCTCTCAACAGTGATTTACTGGTTTTAGTTGGTGTAATTAACCTGACATACCTGATAGCATCTGCTCTCCTGCAGCAGAGATAAAGAATACACACATGACACACATTGCCTCAGGGTGCACCAGACTGCCAGACTCCCTCTGTCTGTTCTCCATCTTCTCCTCTGCTCTCAGAGAGGCAAGTCCAGACAAGTCCGCTGTCTCTGCCTCCCCCTTGCCTATTCAGGACGGGCCTCAGCTGCAACAGAGGCAAACCACAGAGCAAACAGCCAACCTGACTCCCGGTGCCCTTCAGGCAAAACAGACAGGACACGCCTCGGTGCAGCTGGCCTGTTACCTGGGGATAAAATACAGAGTGGAGGCCATGGATCATAGATAGAAGAAAAGGATTAGTTTTGTCTAAATATGGCTCAGTGATGTTGAAAGGTGGAGGAATAGTCAAAATGATTTATGCCCATTATACTAAAACATTTAAGTTATCATTAGATTTATATAATATGACATGATCAGTTTCATCTTAGCTTGAATGTAAAAGAATAGTTCAACATTTTGGGAATTCCGTGCATTCATTTTATTTGCTGTTTGCATGCTAAATTTAAAGCTACAGCTAGCAGCCGGTTAGCTTAGCATAGCATGAAGCCTGGGAACAGAGGGAAACAGCTTGCCAAAGATAACAAAACGTGAGTACCGGGTTGATTGTTTCCCTCTGTTTCCAGTCTTTGTGCTTAGCTAAGCTAACCCCTGCTAAGCTAACTGTTTATTAATCAAGAAGGCAAACAAACGTATTTCTCAGCATGTAGAACTGTCTTTAAATGTTCAGCATTGAGAATCGCCCGCCCCTAGTACATAATGAGAAACATTTTGACAAAAGAGAAAAGAAAATTATAAAAATTAATTTATTCTGGTTTATGTCATATTCCTCCACTAACTCAGTGTTGTTTAAATGTTCTCCTCACTGTGTTCATTGATACTGCCAGCATGTGGGATACTGTGCTAGACCAGAGAACAGTTTACACCCTTCGCTCATCCAGTGCCAGGAGAAGTAAACACACACATGGAGACAGACAGAGAGGGATCCAGAGCAGGGAAACTGTTACAAACTCAGTCACACACATTGAGGTGGAACCTCCTTTGATGGAGTGCTTACTCCCCGTAAAATAAACACACACACACACACTCCCCTCTGGCCTAATTTGGGCTGTCACTCCTTCCATCAGCCCCACACATACAGTCGGACAACACAATGGTACAGTGTACACCCACTCAGGCATCCATCTAACTGGAGAATAGAAGCAAGCCGTGGGGGAGGAGATTACCCCTTGCTCTTTACTCTGCTACCAATCTGCTTCAGCCCTATGCCTCACTCTGTTCACCCCGCAAGCTCGTTTTAGAAAAGAAAACATGAAACTATCTTGTTAACATTTGGGTAAGTGATGGTAGAAATGTGGATTCAGATCAAAGTTCTGGGTTTAATCCAATGTTTTCGCAAATATCTGCCTTGCTTTAGTGTCTTTGAGCAAGACACAGAACTCCCTACCACCTTTGCATATTGTTCTGGTGCTAAACCTCTGAACCTGTGGAGGTGGAAGAAGGCAAAGAAAGTCATATCTCTGTAAGATAAATAATTTTCATCTTTTAACAAGGTCTTTTCGCAGACAGTCAGAGCAGAAATGGAAGCCATCTGTCAACCCATTCATTTGCTTTCATGGTAACACAATGTATAGTACAGTGTGGCACCACTGCAGGCTGTACTAATAAGATAAGATGTTACTTTATTGATCCCACCTAGGGGAATTCAAATTGGCACAGCAGCACAGGGGAATGTGGTGCAAAGAATAATGTCTAGAGTATCACTCCTCTCCACAGGGTTGGCAGTTTCTAATAACGGGATGTTTTTAATTCAGTTCAGGTTGAGTCACTTGTAAAGGCCTGAGTGAACTAAACCACACAAATGCATTCCACTTCTGCAGATTAATCCCTGTTTGGATAGACTTGACACTTTGAAGTGTGATGAGGTGAATACCTGACATAGCAAAGGCTTTCTCTGTAGAGTGGATGGGAACGAGACTCTGCAGTGCCATTGTGCACGTCGTCTCATGAATAAAGGCAAGAGGAAGTGGCGGTTTGTCGACTGTTGATACAATTTAATTTCGTCATTAAACTGTATACACAGTAACTAAATATTAGCATATTTCGTCCTATCTGTGTCATTGCTTCTGATTTTAAAGACAAAACTGGCGCTCCTGCACAGTTGTCCTGAGATTACTTTTGTGCCTGTACTTTCTGGCCTTTATTGTTGCTTTAATTTAAGATTGATTGGCAACAAACAGGTTGCTTCATTACCTGAGACACATTTCTTAAACTACATACAGTATGTTGTCAGCTTCCCATTAAAGACTACTGACTGGACAGCTACAGTGCCATTCACAGTTAAAGGTCTGAACATAGAGCGTGCCGTATGCAAATCTTTGATATTGGGCTATAAAAATAAAAATTGATTTATTTGTGAGCAATGTTTTGTGATTTCTAACGACTGAATCCAGTTTGAATTCACATTAGTATGCTGCTCGTTTCTAAAAAACTAACTTTCCAACTTTAACTACTTTTTACAAAGAAATAGTACTTTTACTACTTTAAACACAAGTAGAATAACCGCACGTAGACATTTTGTTTCTTGATGCTTGAACATCGTTCACTCCACAGGCCTCCTGCATTGTGGGGAGGCTCCTAAACACAATCCGGTTACCCTCACTGGGGCTTAAATCTGTGTGTGGCAGAGACGTTCATCCGTGTGTCGTCTACCAGGAGATTTTCATCTGCTAATGTTCAGCTCTCAGGCCCATGAGAGGACTCTGCAGCCACTGTCGACTACTCATCTCAATTCTTATGCAGTTTGCACAAAAATGTTGCCCCCAACGCTGTTAAGCCCTGTGTGTGTGTGTAAGGATCTTTGTTGGAATTAGGAAAGGATTGTCACCTGTAGCTGCCTTCTTGTTTTCACTAGTCTAAACCAAACACCTCGAATATTTTTCTGCTTGACTGCTACAGTGTAGCTATGTAAAGAGACCTCACTTCTTGTGATGAATACTTTGGTCAACAGTCCCGGTTTACAGACCTCAGTTTACACACATCAACATCTCCCTCTAGTGGAGAATATTGAAGACAGGTGAAAAGAGTACTTTTCATTGTTTTGCAAACTAGGGGATACAACTTTCTAATTTAAGACATTAATGAGAGCCAAGGGCAGTGGTAGGGTTAAAATGTTTTACTGTAGTGCTACAGTACGCAACAGGTATGAATGAAAACATTGGGCAACATCCTGTTCTCTGTAGTTTCATTCCATATGACAAAAATATCTGGCATGTAAAATCATCACAACATGGCAGTAGAGTAGAAAACAGGAAAATAATGAAATAAACAAATTACGGTGTAAATAAAAGCATTCAAAGAGTCGACTTCCTTCTTGTGCTCTCCGAGTCTCTCCCGATGGGTAGATCAGTACTGGCAATGGAGACTGAAATCCAAGGGTTAAAATCAGTAAAAACCAAGATCACACACCTGGTTTTGTATAGCACAACTATAATGGCTTACTCGCAAACATGCTCCCTCACACTGTCACACTGTGTCTCACACACACACACACACACACACACACACACACGCGCACACACGACGAACCCACACAACCCTGGGAGAGCGATTGTCACTCCTGGTCTCCGTCCTCCAAGCTGAATTAGATTAGGAAAGTCAAGGTTAATCGCCCAATAAATACATTCTCAAATCTCTTTTGAAACACGGACCTTGAGACAATATATACAAAGTGATTAAAAGAAAAAAAAAAAAAGCTCATTACTAAGTGTTTACATCTTAAAACAGTCACTTGAACATGGTGTGGACCAAGATGCACACACAAACCCCTTCTGTTAGGCCAAAGTACTCAATTTCTTTTATGTTTTGTCACTCGTTCCCTCTGCCCCTTCTTCCACATGTTGCATCTCTATGTAACTGATTGTACACACTAGTGTCATGGTCTAGACCAAAGCAGTGCTATGTTATTATCCCTTCGGTTACAGCACTACAGGCACACAAATACAAAGACACTCTGGCTCTCTGCCCTGCCTCATTCCCCATTATCCTTCCTTCCTGTGTGTCAATACAAACACAAACAGTGCTCCCTGTAAACAAGTACTCTTTGTCCTTTCGGATTATAAATACTGTTTTGGTAAATTCATCATCATTAAAAGATGAGACAGAGTGTATTTGAGCGTACATCGATACAAAACACACACAATTGCACTGTTGGAAGATATTCCTTCGTTTGTATACGTCGTGGGTTTCTTCTTCTTTTTGGCTTTAGCGTTAAGGCCCAGAATCTGGAGTGGAAGGGGAGTAGAAGAAGTCCAAGCGGTGATCTGCCTGCGCCCATAGGGCCTACTGTACTGTAGGTACACAACACACATACAGGCACACTAACAGATAAACAGTATTGCAGGGCAATATAAAAAGACACTAAGGAATGGTGAAACATCCTCTCTGTCATATCTTTTTGCAAAAGCATTCTTCATCTTCATCATACATTTCCTCTTTTTTTATTCAAAATCTTTTGAGCCATGCTTGTTTTTCATCCCTCCTTTCCTGTCCAAAGTGCGTGGGTGCTGTTTCAGTCTGGCTACACTAGGGGGTGCCGTTACTCTCTGCAGATGGCTGACAGGCGGTGGCTGTGGCTGTGTTTATTGCTATAATGTCCGTGCTCCTCATCTCTTAGAGGAAATCAGAAAGGGACAAAGTTGCCCTCCTAACACTGATCCGAGGTCTCAGCTGCTGATTAGAGACTGTGCTTTTTGGAGGGATCTAATGCCAGATCAGTGCCAGAGGGAAACCCCTCCCCAAGGAGCGGGCTCAGGTGAAGACGTAGTTGAGCAGGAGCTGTGAGAGGAGCAGTACACAGAGGATGAGACAGTGGCGGCCTGTTAACGATGCGCTGTCGTCTGTTGCCCTCTGACGAGCCAGCTGACGACTCAGAGCCACCAGGTTCCTACAGGGAGAGAGAAGGGTCAGCGTGAACAAGTGATTAACAATGCTCAGGAGGAATTTAGTCTAAACAACATCAAATGAACGAAAACACAAATGTGCAGAAAAATATTTTTTCAAGTTCTGATACTGGCGCTGATATCAATCAAGTACGGATATTTTTGTTACAGATGCACTGACTTTTCTATCCATCCAACAGTGGACGTGACAGTTTAATTGTTTAAATTTGAGAAACATCTTTCTTTTCACAGATAAGAAACAAGATCCGTGTGAAGGTTGTTTTTTTTTTTTCACCTCAAGAGGAAGGATGTTTGTACCTCTGACCTCTTAAGACATTATGCTACCCCTCTTCCCTCCACAAGTGTGTGTGAGTGTAAACGTGTGCGTTATTTTCACCTCTGGATGTCCTGCTGTGTCTTCTGAATAGATGTGATGGTGGTCTCTATCATGGCAATGTCCTTCACCTCTTTATTGCACCGTGCACATTGGTTTGAGAACCCTGGACACATGACAGGCGAGAACATAACGACTTCGGTAGCGCAATTTAAGATTTCGTTTTTTGAGTGCGTGTGTGTGTATGCCTCACCTTCACCCTCTGAGGATTCGTGTGTGGGTTCTGGTGTGGTGCTGCTGCTCTCAGTGTTCTGGCTGCAGCTGGACGGCTGACTGCTGGCTTTCCTGTGCTTCCCGTTCACCTCAGCCTGAGAGGAAGCAGAAGGGTTTTACTGTAAGTGATTCAAACTTCCCTTCAGACAAACTGACAGTGAACTGTTAACAGCTGAATAAAGCTATACTGCAACGATTAACAAGTGAGAAATAAAGGCGCTGATCATGCTTGCTAGTTTTCCAACAGGTGCAGACTTGACAAAAACCAGTGCAGCTTTCAATTTGATTAAATGTCAATGACACACCCACGAACACCAAATCAGTATAACTCTAGTTTGGAGGTGTGCGATTGGTCTGGCTAACCTTCTGTCGGCTGGCCCAGCTGTGGCTGTAGGAGAGTCTGTTGTGTCGCCTCTGGCTTTTCTCGTGCGTCTGAATCACTCCATCCTTCTCGAACTGAACCAGAGAGCGCTCAGGGTCCCATGGTTGCGTGCTGCCAAATAGGATAATACATGAAGCTGTGGGCGCAGTGCAATGTAAATCTGAACATGTCATTATTTCCACGTTTTTTTCTCCTCTCCTTAATCCGCGGCTAAATCCTCGTTATACTGACCTAAAATCTAAACTAAAAAGACCAGTGTGTGCCATCCCCTGTGTTTTATTGGCTTGGTGTGAGTGTGTTCATACTCCATGTGCCTGTAGGTCCACTCGGAGGTGACGGGGTCCTGATGGAAAAGTCGTGGGGTCCAGGGTTTGTCTCCTCTCTCCCTGGCCTCGGTCCGCTGAGCTTCCTCCAGCACAAACTTCTCCTGGGTGGCCCTTAGCTGGTCCCGATCCATGATGGCACTGGTCACATGCTGCCACAGTCTGTTGCATATTAAGCGCATATTAAGATTGCATGAACACGAGGCAGACAGATTGCACATGTAAGTGTTGTTGAAGTCAGCAGTAGTTTAGTTTGTTTGCTTGTGATGTGAAGTGGAAGGCATGCTGGCTCACTGACAGATGCCATTATTAATGTCATTAATTACACCTCTATTTTACCTGCAAAATGTATTCTGTGGGAAAGATATTTTATCCTGTTTTCATGTTTCATGCTTCCTCAAATTATAAACTGAATTAAGTTAGGAAATAAGCGCATGTGGTTTACCTTTCAGACTCAAACTCTCCCTGCTGGTCTATTTGGACCACTTGTCTCTTGAGGCGGCTGCTGCGAATGTCTGGACTCGGGTTCCACAAGGTCTCCTGCTGGCCCGAGTGCTTCTCATGAATGAACACCTCACCGTCCTGAATCCATCAAAATGCCAACAAAATTATTAATCAAAAGCAATTCATCACACAGACGGCTCAATATTCCTATCAATGTTCATTAATTATGTAATAAAAATGTAATGCGATACTTTTTTTCTACTTTTATTGTTTTCGCTAACAATGTCCAGAACGTTCATTTTCAAACTTTTCTATACTTTCTTACTATGTCAGACCCTTCAGCCCACTGTAAGAGCCCTCTAAACAGGGTCATCTACTTGCCTAGCTGCTCCTCCTAAACCTCTACTTACCAATTCTGCCTCTAATTACTACAATTACTGTATACTGAGTGGCAGCAAGTAAGGGGCAGAGAGTGATGCTGAAAGATGAATTTAAAAAGGGAGACTGAGCTGGCTGGCAGGGGCGGAGGGTTAAAAGCTCTCACCCAGTGTCCATCAACGGTAGCCAGTAGCTCCTCTCCCACAGAGATCTTCCCGCTGATCTGATTCACAGAGCAGGCGCCTCCGAGGAAAGGCTGCAGTGAACAGAGTCAATGTGTCAAACACCTTTACTAAAACTGCCGTCATCTCAGTGTGTACAGCATCAGTTGCTGACTAGTCAAGCAACTATTCGAATGTAAGAAAATAGTTAACTGGTGAAAGAACATTTACAAACATTACAGATGTTAACTAAATCTTTATACCTTGAGTTTGAACTCCAGCTCAGTGAAACATTTTGTTTTCTCACACTCAATCGTAACCTTCCCACCCAGCTCTAGTGTCATAGTGCCGTACAGGATACCTACAGGAGGCACAGATATAGTGTTACAGCATCAGATAAACGGCACAACATTGAACAGAATATAGATGAGAAGAGCAACAAAATCCTGTAGGAAGTCAAAAGGTAAATCATACCATTCCCCGTATTACTGCAAGGTGAGGAATATAATTCATGATCTAGGCACTCGCAGTGAGCGCGTTGCTTGATGGACCGTGAACAAGATAAAGACAGTAATTTATAACGTAACCCATGTACACTCGCTGAATAAACAGAATTGAACTGACGTAGTCTGACAACGAGGACCATGGCAACAAACAGCCACGGTCAGATGGGTGAGGCATTTTCCACAAACTAAAAACCATCCAGGGAGTAAACAAAGAAGACGAAACATGCTGTATAATGATAATTTGCTGTAATGAAACAGGAGATGTAGTGTGAGCGGCACGTTAGCAGAGCAGCAGCAGCAGCTTCAGTGCTCAGTCTGTGTCTGCACAGGATGCGTTGAGGCACAGGATTGAGTGCAGGTCACCCACGTTTTGGCAGCGCTCAGCGCACTTAAAATGGACTTGACGCGTAAAAAAAACGCTTCAGGTCAAATTTATGCTTGTTTAACATGAGTAAAACTAGAACCATCACAAACCCTGTGTAGACAGCTGGACTGATTAAAACCATAACATACCCTAACCATGTAATTAGCTGGCTAATGGATCTAATAGTATTTAAGGGGACAGTGAAGGTGACTGTTAAGTTCTGAATGAACAAAACTGGATTGTTATTAGCGTAACGCATTAAGAGGGACATCAGCACCTTAAAGTCTCTAAACAATGTATGGCAATAAATAACTAAACAATACTTTTCCCCCCCAAAGAGATGATGCAGTGTAAAGGAGATTATGGGAACCTACTGCCAATGTAAACATGGCATCAAGGGCATGGGCAGATTAATTAGCAGTGATAGCCATCAAGATCGGTTACCTTTGCAGTGAGCGTACGGCATGGTGATGACATACTCCTCATCCCTGCTCAGGAACAGCAGCCTGGCTTTGCCATCCAGAATAGCTGACAGGGAGTTACCTACAACAGCAGAAGGACAGAAAATCCCTTGATTAAAAAATACAAGTATCTTTTTCCCCTGTAGACTCCCCTTAAAAAGCTCATTCCGGCAGCAATTTGTCTTACCTCGAGGAAAGGGTGGGGATTTGTCTTTACGTGCATTTACATTTGATCATATATAACATATGTATGTGTAGTCCCTGTTGCTGATTTTTCTGCTATGACAAAGGATTACATATTACATATTGTAGTGTGTGCTGTGTATTGTACCGTAGAACTTGGACTTGGCCAGGATGCTCCCGCTGATAGAAAAACCATCCTTCCTATTGCAGATATAAAAGGCAGAGATGGGAGGATGGTGGGACACCTGGCAGAGAAAAAAAAGAGAGACACTTGAGCAGCAGAGTGAGAAAAGGAGGTGTGAGATAACCTCTGGCACATTTTATGCAAAATATTTCACACAAGGAGCGAATCGTGTCCTGTGCATTTACACGTCCTAGTTATGAATCTGGTTTAACCTGTTCAGCTATGTAGAAAGTGCAGCTGTCAGTTTGAGGATGAAGCCAGCAGCAGCGAAACGTTTCCCCTAGGATTGGGTTGTATGGCTTCTTCAGACCCTGGAAAAAGCAAACATATACAGCAGTGTTAGAAATTGTCACAGATAATAAACATCACCACGGAACACATTACCACTTGTCTGGACTCAACAGTTCAGCAGTACTGTGCAGGAAATAATGCACAGTACTGCAGCACACAGTCGCCTAGACGTCCTGATAATGATAAATCAGGTTTCTACCCATCCATCTCCGTTGATTCTACATAGTCAGCTCAAAAAGTGTTGAGCAAGGCTTGTTTAATCTGCAGCCATAATCTGCTGGCTCATGTTCAGTGTTTTGCTGTCACTGAGGAAATAAGTTCCTAAGGAGTGTCTCCTGCCGTTTTTACAGCCGAAACATATCCAAGACAGAGTCGCTCGTTAAGCAGCCAAGGAACACAGAGTCACAGAATATCAAGTTAGAAGATGGTGAGTCCAAAAGGGACGGTTTGATAAATGCTAACACAGAAAATATTCCAGTACTTGTAAAACGGCCACGTCCAAGAGCCTGACAAGAGAGAGTGAGTGTGAGACTAAAAAACAGAATGGAGGGAGCTGTTATTCAGCTGAAAGCTTTGGCAATGCCACTAAACAGCTGAATCATTGGTTACTGCTGATCTTTGAGATGGAATCTGAAAGACCATAAAGCTATAGTTTATGTTGACTGTATTTTATTTAATGATTCTCATAAATTCTTTTGAAAATGTTGTCTGCTTCACTGTTATTTAGTTTTTACTGATTTAGCTGTTTTAGTTTATGTAATAACATGGTGTTAGCTACGTAACTATCATCTTCCAAAAGACTTTATCCAAAAACAGGTGTTGCATCTTATAATCAGGGTTGTCTTGTATATTTGGGCCACTATGATAGCAGCAAGCCATTTGGCACTATAGCAAACAAATCTTACCTTGGGCTTCTTGTAGAAGCCAGACAAGTACCATCTCAGTACCTGCTTGATCCGACCGTATGCACTCTCCTCCAGTGCAGCTCTGTGGCAGCAAAGATGGTGAAGGAGACAGACAACAATTATGACAAGAAAAGCAGGCAAATAATAATTCCAGTCTTCATCTGAAAAATCCTAAAATGTACACACTCCTATGGACACACACGCACAGTATAGTGACTTTAAGTTACTCACTGTGAGAGCAAATCGGCGTGGTAGTAGTAATCAGACAGTTTGTCCAGGAAAGAGCGTGGCTCCAGGATGAAGGTGGGCAGCACCACCTTGGACAGGTCCATGCCTGGCCGCAGCTGCTTCAGCAGGCCCCAAATCAGACCCTTGTTCTCCTCTGATACAGTCTCCACCTGGGACGCCTCCCCAGCCTGAAATAAAACATACAACATGCACATGGGTGGGGTTAGCAGAGAGTCACATTATTATCTCTCTGGTCAGAGACCTGGTTGAGATGACAGGGACAATCAAGAACAGAATTTCTCTAAGCCAACCAGTTTTCAGAACACAACTAAATACCACGAAACTTTGAACGTAAAAAAATAAATAAAAAACAATATAACAAATGACACAGCTCCCTAAATAAATAAATAAATCTGTAAACTCAGCCCCTCACCTCAGCCATATCCTCTGTGCTCTGCTCTACATAGGCTGTAGCCTGCGGCCCGGGGGACAGCTCGTCTGATTGGTCCATGTCGCTCTCCCCCGTCAGCCTTCCACCATTTTCATTAGCTGTCGTGTCCCAGTCATCATGAGCCTCACGCTCGGATTTGTCTGAAAAGCCGTCATGCTCCATGTGGTGATTGCCCAGCAGCACAGTGTCATTTAATCTGATAGTAACAGAGAAGAAGTGAACACTAAGGTTAGAATTATAAGCAAGCCCTGATTGTCAACCATTTTATTGCTACGGCATGTCCAGTCATTGATTAAGCTATGTCAAAGCCGTTTTGGAAATTATGTTATAAATTACAAATGAAGAACAATCACAGGATTTAATGAGGTAAAAAAAATTTGTGCACTGATCTCTGACTTACAGTTGTTGCATCTTAGCAGATGTGAACTGGTATCATATGTAGCTCTATCAAGGTCAGTAAGTCATTACTAGGGATAATCTAACAGAGTGTGGGCGCTTGAGGATGTTTTAATGATCAAGATTAGACATTAAAGATGAGTAATGTCACATGACATTACTGTATAATCATCTTACTTGATATTAGTTCAGTGCTGCCAAAGCTTTGATGATTACCTCTTCAGCCAGGCAACCTATGAACAGCTCGAACATGGCGCATCCAAGGATACTGAATTTGTTATGTTCTCCCATATCCTCCTCCTCACGGCTATGATGAGTAAAGCCCACTGCGTTAGAGACTATCCACTTTAAAAACCTGGCTGACCTGGATGGTCTGGATGTATTTAGTAAATCTGCCATGTCTGGTTGTCAGGACAACCAGACCAAACCACACCAGTTCATCCCTTATCCCCCCTGATCTGCCTGGTCTGAATGTGACTGGCTGTCTCAGGGGACACAAACAGGGTACTGTATGCATATGCATGTACTTTACTTACATACACATTCTGTACATCTAAGCACTCATGCTTTCACACACACACACACACACACACACACACACACACACACACACACACACACAATGTTGGGAGATAACTAATTCAACTGCATCCTTTGCTGATTTGACAATTTCTCAATGTGGTATTCTCCAGTCCAGTCCAGTCCAGTCAAAACCAGACATCAGATGTGTCAGCAACTGGACCAGAGCAAAGTAAAATGAAATCAAAAGAAATAAAGTGAAGAAAGTCATGCGTCAGCTTCTAAATGGCCAAAGAAAGGAGAACGAGAATGAGTAGGGCGATAAGAGGGGTGAAATCGATAGTTTAAAAAAAAGGAACATCATGGTTCCAATCCTACAGCCATTTTACAAGTCAGACAGTCGATGTCTCTGTGCTCTGGTGGGTGCACACGTCCAAAACCTCACTCAGGCACATTCAAAGGGACACAGAAACAGACAGACAGAAATTAAAGCAGGTCATGCATATTTCACACCCTCTACACTACTAACAAATACAGAACAACATTAGGACAGGGTAGTGTGTCATATGCTTTCAAAACCACATTCAGTGCTGGGATTATGGTGACAGAAAACAAGGAAACAGCTTATTTGCCTAACAACAATGGAAGGGAGTTCAATTTTCAAAATGCCTGAGGGAAAGATAGACAAAAAGAATCAGATTCCTGCACACTCTGAATCACTAACACTAATGTTATTCATTAACCCAAACACGCCTGGAACAGAGGCGACCTACCTTACCTCAAAGACATACAGCATACAGACAAACTCTTCTCGGGAATCAAAACACCACCAATGATGTTACCAGTAAATCCAAATCCAGGCGCAGTCTGTCCTTATCTCCTCTCCTCTCTTGTGTGCACGGAAATGTTTTTAATCTAGTCACTAAAAGGTGCTGTTTTGCTTCCTCGACTCTGGCACGCCCGCTTCCTGAATGTGTGTGTGCCTGTTCTATCTGTGTGCCTGTGTCTGCATGCGTGTGTGTGTGTGCGCACTGTATTGCTGCCGTCTCTTTCTGGGTGGCGTATGGTTAACATTCTATTCCATCTTCCTGCTCCTCTGTCAGTCATGTGATCGTACGGGCTGCTGCAATTGGCTGGGAGAGGAGCAGAATGGGAGGGAGAGCTGGGATGGATGGCCCAAGGGAGGGTTCATCCATGGAGGGAGGTTAAGGGGGGGGGGGGGTGGGGAGGAAAGGGATGTCTATGTAACGTAGCATGTAAACAGTGCAAGAAGAGCGCTGCACAATTTCAAGAAGAAATAGGAAAATAACTATGATGGATAAATACCAACATATGTGAGGATTGTAAAAAAAAAGAAAAAAAAAAGACAGACATACTCACAAGCATAAGCACATGAACACATACTGTTAAATACTAATAATAAACAATAACACAATTATAGCAGATGCAAAACAGTGTAAGATTTATATATAAATAGAGCTTTTACAAGAAACTACATATACTTAGGAGTTCAGTATAGCCACAGTCTTCCACTCTCCACCACATTATGGGTGTTGGCTGCCTTGCTTATAGTCACTCTTTACACTACTTTTTCAAAATCTATATCTCAATTTAAAACTCAAAGCTCTATTTATTATAGACAATATAAATAATATAAGACTGACACATTTTAAAGACTTTAAAGACTGTTCCTCTGACATTTCCACACTAATAATAATAATCATAATAATATTTCCAGCTCTAAATAATCTTCACCAAATTTTCTGTCCGATGCCCAGGAAAGCAGATTTTAATCAGTTTCACAAGGTGCTGCTTTATACACAAGTGGCTCCAATGATTAAATGTAAAAACAATTATAAATAAACAAGGATTACATGAGAGGCTCAAACTAAAGCAACATCACACTATACTTGTTCTGTTGTCTGCGTATACTGTACTGTTCCAGCACAGGAGGAAAGCATCACAGTGCTGCTGTGTATTTATACACCACATTTCATCAATGAAAAATGACACACCACAAAACCACAGTTAATTTCTCTTTAGGTCTCCCCTTTCTCTCTCTCCATGTGTCACACACATACAATATGTGCAGTGCAAGTATAAGGCATATCTCTGGGAGTCCATGTTTCTTCAGCTGTTATTCCGAGTTGATGACCAGAAATCACAGGGACAGTATTTTATGGACCTAACACCTGGGAATTTCTGACTACTGCACACATAAGACAGCATAGATGTGTAGCAAAGCAGTATCGTGCATGAACTGGCAAAAGCAACATCTTGTAGTGTGATTACAAGAAACATTGAAAAATAAACTGTAGGCGATTCCAAAAAAACAAAAAATAAACAACACCTTTTAAAGATATTACTTACTGTAGCAGCTCTGCATCAATGAGTGTGGTAGACTGCAGCAGGTGGAGTATATTGGAAGACTCTGAAGACGTGCTGATATCTGCTTCTCTCCCACCTTTGGTGGTCAGCTTATAGAGACTGGAGCAGCTGAGAGCCAGCTCCAAGGCATCCATCCAGCACCGGCCTGGAGAGACAGACACATTTTAAATGAGTGTCATAAATACGTTTTGCTCGTAAAAAGGCGAGAATGTACACTTCCAACCGAAGCGACCACACATAAGCCTCACCATCGGACTCAGATGTTGCTCTGAAGATCAGGTAGTTGCTAGGTAGAGGCTGCGTGATGGAGCCAACATTCTCTCCTTTGGGACCCTGAGCATATGGATGAAACTGTGAGTCACGCTTCATCCCATTTTAGTCATGTTGTACCAACAGAAACAAGCCTTAATGGATCCCCGAACAGGATAATTGTCACTTTAAAATTAAAACTTGGTGAATAAAAATGAAATCAATATAATTACAGATAAAATTGCTTTTGTTTGAATCAATGCAAGTAAACCCAGAATTTTCAGTGTTTCTAAAACAAATTTTCACTATCATCTTCTTGATCATCTGTTATTACTGGGTTTATAAAAACCAAAAGACACGAGTCTACAAACGTGTGTGACCTTGACAGCCCAGATGGATTTGTCCAGGGGTGATAGAGCTTGAAGCAGAAGCCGTCCTTCTTGGAGGGTCTCTCAATCAGCTTGCATGCACTGAGCAGGACGGTGCCCACCCAGTGGTCCGTTTTGGGGGTCTTATAGATCAAAAGAACTCCAGGCTTCAGGGCACACCACAGCTTGGTCCAACTCTTTAAAGACCACGGATCTGAAGGACAAGGGATAAGAAATGGAATATGGCATTATAGCATCAGAGCATAACATGAACACAAGAAATATGATAATGTTGTTTTTTACAATTACATATAGCAACATTATGTTCAGTAAACTGAACATAAACATGAACACATTCCGAGCTGTAGAACTATTCCATTGTTGCACATTATTTGTAATTCATAGTTTTCACGTGACATCATATTCCAAGGAAAACGCTCCCTTGGAGGGCAAAAAAGACGTTATTTTCCGCTGCCACCAACAGGAAGCAAGTGATACAGTGTTACTTTGAGTTTGTTACAAGAGACAAGACTGAGCTGTGTTAGGTGAGGGATTCCTACAAGGTAAACGTAAACATTACCACAGAGCGCTGGCAGGGACACGGCGGGTTTTTAATGGCAGAAATACCGCAGTGGGTGCTGTTATAGGGATCGCAAGTGCCCAACGCTTGCAGTTTGTGTCCATATCTATCTTTTTCTTGAGTTGAGAGGTGATCCAAATAAAATTTAACGGCTTGGGGGCATCTCTACGAGGGAGTCCGGTGTGGGCCGCTATCTTGGTGTGTTGTTTTGCCCTCCAGGTCACCGAGCATGTCACATGACTGAAAACTATGAATAGCAGATGAACAAATTACAACCAGCATGATAATTAGCAAAAGGTGTATTGACAGATGAGACAACATCTGAACAGCTTGCTGCCAGTGTGACTCCAGAGATATCATTATTTTGGGTCCAATGCAACAGCTCTCCCTAACAGACAACATCCCCACACCTTTAGCCATTGGACATGATGACAACACTGGG